AAAACTGTATGTGTTACTACAGGGGCAAGCCCAATCCCGCCCCTCTACACAGCATCCAGGAAATCAGCCTGCAAGAAGACATTTCACACGCCGCTCGGCGCGGGTAAGACGATTTACAGCCAACACACCTCGAAAATCTTTTGGTATCATATACATCCAAAAGCAGTCCACTACAGCCATGCAGCAAGAGAAAAGGACAATACACGTAACCCTACCATAACTTTGGTCACAAAGTGTGTTATAATCTGTATTCCTGTATCACATAAAAACACACACGATTCCTGTGGAAAACAACTATTTTAAATTCTTTCCGTAAACTACACCAAAACAGATTTACCGTACGGAGCCTAAATGACCAGCTAACTCGGCACGAATGCTAGACAGGAAAACCACGGACTATGGAGCAACGGGGACTACGCGGAAAGAGCTATCTGTTGAGATACAGCCCTAACTCAAAACAAAGCTAGGTTTAGTTATTGGGTTTCCCCCCAGTTGAAATATCTGTAGTAATATAAAAAAACATTTCCAGTGTGGTCATCGTCTGTCTATTCGGCCGAGAACGGAATGATAATATTCATGAGGTATGTTTATATTAGTTTATACCCATCACCTGAATAATACGCGAATCACTGTTTTTTCGTTACCCGTTGAATGACACCATTTTTTATATACAGAAGCCCACGGGTCGCCCTCCAATGGAGTCCGCCATGGATGACCTTGATCTGCCATGTTTCTACAGTAGCCCAGAACGGACAAACCAAACACTGGCTTTAGATATGGCCTTTTCAAGTTTTCTGCAAGATTTGCTGTCCCCGTAGTTCCTCGTACACACTTCTCAGCCCGTTCTCATCCCCAGGCCATCAAATACAGATGCTGGCAGTGTTCAGTTAGTTGCAATCTGAAACGTCACCGCTAGATGCCACTAAATCGTACACACTGGACCTTTAAATTGTACATTTGAGTATTTTATTGATTTAGGTAATAGTACTTGTACAGATAGATAAACACAGAAACAACTATGGGCTGTAAATAATAATCAAACTAAAGTTCATTTTCTAGTTAAAAACTAAGTAAGTAAAATCAACTGTTGTTGGAAGATATTGCAGTTTCTCTGAGAATTCAGTGCAGATTATCCAAAGGCAGATTGCAGTGCAGTCTCTGCATTATTTTCTTTCAAATGGACTGGACTTGTATGAATATAGCATATTTCTGGTCTACTGTCCACTCAAAATACTTTCACACAACATTCCCACACTGATGTCAGGGGGTGGCTCTGTTTCCCAGCCTGAACATCTTCTTTTTTTTCAACTTCACTGCCTCTATAGTACTGTCTGTAGATGCAGGGCAGGGGTCAAAGGTCAGGTGTAAATCTGGTCAGATTGAAGCAGGTGGGACGGACAGGATGAAGTGAACCAGGCGGCTGCATCTCTGCCAAAAGAGCCTTATCACTGTTCTGACTGAAACCAGAGCAGGAGCAAATTCCTCCTCTTATGTAACATACAGTCCGGTCCAGTTTCAGGTTCAGCCTGCACTCCCCCATACAACACACTGACAGACAGACAGACAGTCAGACTGAAGACCAGCCTGGTAACCCACTGACTTCAAAGTCAACTAGTTGTTGTAAATGTTTTACCACTCTTGAGCTTTTCATGTGTAATGGCATCAAACTAACCCAAACCATGTGTCTGTGTTCTCTTACTGCAGCGGGACGAATATGAAGAGCGCAATGTCCAACTTGTTAGTTTATGGATGACAGACGGCACTGACACAGCGCACATTGTTACAGTGACTGTCTCAGGGATGCAGCTCAGATAAAGCTCTACACAAACACTGGACTGACTCTACATTAACAAGCAGTAGGTCCTCTCACCTTCTCTCTCCCTCCCCGGAGCGGACTGACCGACGCTTAACGTCCCCAACCTCACACATCTTCTCCCGCACAGTCCGACACGAACTGCCGCTGAGTGGAAGCGGCTGACTGACTGAGCCACAGCGCGCAGGCAGGGAGCCACTGCGCATGTCCGCTGCTGCAACCTTCTTATACTATCAGAACTTTTTCTTTTCATATTTCGACTTCACCGTGGAAACATTACAACATTTGTTCTTGTACTATGACCTCTTTCGTAAGATGACACGACTTATGCTCATAACATTACGACTTTTATGAAACTATAAGATTTAACTCAAATTGTATGTAATTTTAACGATATATTATTTAATAAAATCTGTGACTAATTGCCTATTAAAAGGGTATGCATTATGGTTAGGTATAGTATTTACTTTAAGTTAAAGTAATTTTAAATTGTATTTTTTATTCCTGATTTTATCTTTATTGGTGCATGGCAGTTGTGAAAGAAGTAGTCCACTCAAATACACAAGTATTGAAATCTAAATATACTTAATGTAGTTTATCTAAAGTAAAAGTGGTTACTGGATTATAATCACTGATGGAGTAATGTTTTCATGAGGTGCATTAACATAACTAAGATGTTGTGTGTGTGTGTGTGTGTGTGTGTGTGTGTGTGTGAATTCAAATATCTGAAAGTGTCCTACTGCAGCAATCTGCCCCATTCTATCTCGTATTAAGACACTGACTTGTATCAAAGTTGAAGTTGATTTGAAGTGGAAACAGCTTGAAATAAGTTGACTCCAATGGCACATTCTTAGGAAAATAAGACATAAAACTAGACAAGTGATAGGAGATTGTTTTGCAGTGATGCTTTAAACTGTTCATTCTTATGTCCTTTGAACTGAAGTTTGTAGTGCAGGCTGAATAATCAAAGACAACAGGGCATCCAAAACACTACAGGTGGTGGATCAAAGAGCAAACTAAAGGCAAGAATCAGACAGAGACATTTCAAACGAGCAATGTTTCAAGCTCAACTGAAATAGCTGTGGGCTATGAAAAACCAAACCAGGCTATTTTTGGGACCGTTGCTGCATTATCTGAAAGTGTAGTAAATCAGCTTTCTCACCTGTCAGCGCTCTGCATTTCCTGCAAGCCGTTTACAGTCCTTTTGGTTTCCTGTTTACTTATGACACCTCGCTGTCTGTCTTTTTGTTCATCCACGTGGCTGTGAGCAGCTTCACCTATTGGGTCCATCGGCACATACACATCCTGCAATGAAGCCATTTTGGGGCCATTAGTTGCCATGTTTGAAGGCTCTGTTATAGGTCTATCAGCTTTTAATGCATCTTTGCTCCTTGAAAAAGCCTCTTGGCTCTTAATGGGGTCAACTGAAGGATCGCTGACAAAGCTTTCTGGTGCTGAGGTCAAGGGTGAAGCCCTGCTGGGTGTTGGGGTGGCGGGTAGCGGCCGGGCCAGTGGAGAAACAGGCAGAGGCCGGTCCAGACTGGTCAAACTGAGGCTGGACAGGGCACTGAGCAGAGGGGAGTCTCGGACATGTTCCCCCGCCTTCCACTGGATCTGCCCTCCACTCACCGCCTCCTTGTCCCCCTCCTCCTCCCCCTCTTTCTTCTTCTTCTTCTCTTTCTCCTTCATCCCCTTACAGCTCTTCTTCTGCTTCTGGCTGCGGGGCACAGTGCCCACGTGTGTGTACATTTCGCTGGAGTGGGCGTAGCTGGGGCTGTGGAGACAAGGCTCCATGTCATCCACCGACTGGCCTCCCACTGCTGATTTGGCACCGCCGAGGATCCCATCATGCTCTGAGACTGCCTTGATGTTGGCCTTCTCTGTTGGCCGGCGGCTGGAGAGGTTGGTGAGGCTCCCAAACCATTTGAAACCTGGAGAGTAGGAGGTTGTTAATTGGGGTTGCCAGAAACATTCCTTTGTCAACATCATTAGAGGGGACCCTTTTTTAGTCTCAGACTGTAAATGGAGACATAATAACTTGATAGATATGATTACAAAAAATATATAATTGCGGCCTGGCAGTCAGATATGGAGCCAGATCACTCTAAACTCTTCGGTTCAGAGCTGTTGGATAAATTGCCTTGAATTTGGTTCAGACATACAGATTAAACAGGGAAAAGGAAAAAATGTTCTGGAGGGAAGTAACAGGAAGAACTGGAGTTCTTGGTGAGTTTTGAGATCAGTCAGAGGCCGAATAGTCACACAAACACATTCACACACAGTCTGTTGGTCGCTAGCTTCCTGCTATATCTGCGCAGTTGGTTCACTGGATATGTGGGAGTGACTGAATACTTTTGTGATCTTCTATATATCCAGTGCCACCATCAGAGAAGTTTCAACTTCTCCAGAGCATAGTGCCAAGTGGTAGGCAGCCTGTTAAAGCAGCTCCCTCGCTGCTGTTTCTTGTTTTGATTTGTATACTTTGTATTCTTGTGAATCTCGAGCACTAAACCTGCTTGCACTACACAGCTTTTTAGTTCTGGTATAACTGGTGGAGGATATTTGATTTTTCAGGAAGTTTTTCTTTTACCAATTACCAATCGCTTACCCACACGATGAGCTACTGGTTTACTGCCGTGGGTGCCCAGTCTCACATCAAAGCCTGTAAACGACCTGCCGACTCACTAGCAGGGTGCGAACCACAGGGGGAGTTCCCCTTCATAAGATATGAGCTCCTCTCTAAAATACTGCCAGCTCCCCCTAAAAGCGATGATATAGTTTGCATACTGCCCATTGGAGGACACTATGTCCGAATCCGGTTTTGCCTCACCTAGGCAGATGGATGGGTCAGACAAACATAGGCCTCTTACCCAGTGTACTTCCATATGCTAAATGATAGAAATCACGCTACATCAACAACCAACTGTAATTGTAAATGATAAATGTCTAATTTCCTGTATTCGTCTGTTAACAGCTGCCCTACGTGTCCTGACCTTAATGTTGAGACAGTCTGATCTGAGATACTGAATGATGAAGTGCAGGAAATGGCTTACTGTTCTTTCAAAAGATGACATGTTTCATTTAGTAAAATGGGGAAATACAAAATGTGACCGCTAACCTTATTATCAGAGCTGTTTAAAGAAGGCAATGCCAAAACATTATAAAACATTTAAATCCCTCTAATCTGGCACGGTAGCCATTATGTAATCCACCTGCTCATTTTCCTGCTCAGGGTCACGGTGTCAGTCAGTGTGAGACTGTGAACATTTTAAAGACAATTAAAGAATAATGTGGGGCCTTTAAGTCACCAGCAGCTGCATTTAACATTTCATTTTCACTTTGTCCTTTGAAAAACAAAAATGTTTTCTTTGCCTTTAAAGCATCTGAGGAATGTTGTTGTACCATACTCTGCTGAAACTCTCATCGTTTCTGTTCCAAACTGCAACCCCTCGAGCTCTCAGCAGTGTTTGATTATGTTTCTGCCCCAGGGACCTATTCAACTCTGAAAACACTGAGGAATATTTATTTCCCTCAGCTAAATATAGACTAATGATTTTTAGAAAAAGAAAGAAGGGAAATGATGGAGGTACCGATGCAAAGAAACTGCATTTTTTTATTTTCATGTTGATGCCAGCAGATATGGAGTCCTGATGACTTACATTGAATCTTATTCTGAGCAATTGGCAGGCAAATGTTGAATTTATCTTGGGTGAACTGTGACCTACGAGGAGGAAACTAGAGCCAGAGAGTCCAGAAACAGAGGACGCTATCGTAGTTTATTAGCTGTGTCTCAGTTTTATTGAACCTCCCCTGTCGGACTATAAACTGCTCCACCACAGCGACATTTAAACACAGTTATAAGACAGTGTTGCAGATACTCAGGGCACTCACACTTCTATACACCAGCTCAAGTGGACTTTGGATTTAAACAAATTCAGAACCCAGTTGATTGGTATTAAAGGGACTATATATGACATTCAGAACCATGATATGTAGCACTATAGAGCACTAGACTAGAACAAAGAACAGAGAGGCTTACACACAGAGGGAGTGTGACTTCATTCTCTGCTTAGGACGCCATGACTAGGCTAGCAGTTTCCCCCCTGTTCTGGATTTACGTATCTCTGTAATGCACTCAGGGGAATGAAACTGATATCCTTTGAGAGGACATACAGCAGGATTTCCCTAAATGCTGAACTGTTTCTTTCATTGATACACGCATCCAAAGAGGGACCCATAGAGTGTCAAGACTACACTTTTTTTTGGGTAGAACAAGTTTGAACTGACCTCCACCCAGAGAGTCACATCAGCAGTTCTGATTCAGAGATATTTATGTCACTTCTTAAGGAAAGTATAAAGAGCCACAAGGAAGTAGCTCAACGTGGCTCTAAAATTAAAGCATTTCAGCAGGTTTTTAGTATTGATCACACAACTAAACTGACTAGCTGCACTTGGTTAGAAGAACAGCATAGAACAGAATCGAAGTTTCAGTTCTTCCTTTCAGGCCCAACTGGACTGAATGAACGGCCTTCATCATGGGTGAAATTCAGGTTTAAATAGTGAACAACTATTGAATCGAATGGAAGCAGAAAAAGAGAGGCACAGTGAGCTGTTGTCCTTTCAGCAGACATTCGCTGTCTTTTCTTAGCTCAACTCTGTGCTAAACACTGCACTCAGCCGGGTTGCTGTCCTTTCAAACCACACAAAGACGCATCTATGCTTCATTTACAATGGACCAAAAACTGTTTGTGAGTGGAACAGTGAACAAAGAGCCAACACACACACAAACATACACACACTCACAGTGAAACAAGTGTCAATAGATCACATTCTTTTATAGGATTACACAAATAAACTTGCATCAGCCTCTTTTCCCTGACTCATCATATAACACAATGTCTGTCTCTATAGAGTATACTAGTAACTTTACAGTTCTTCACTATGTATTTCATTTTTTTTTTTTTTTTTTACTAATTTCTCTGACAGTTATTAGGGAATTAATCAAAATATTATCAACACTGTCGACGCTGTTGGTAATATTTAGTGCACATTGCACTACAGCCAAGTGCAATATGCAAATGCAAGCAAGTCAAAGTTAAAGTATAGTAGTATTATCAGCTAAATTACCTTAAAGTATAAAAAGTAAAGGTACTTGTTTTGCAGTCCCTTTGACTAATATCATAAATTATAAAGTAGTAGTAAACAGTATTTTGAAGCTAGTTTTAACTACTTTAACTATTTAGTCCAGTGGATCCCAACCTGTCGGGCCCCTCCAAACGGTTACCAGACACATCTGAGGGGTTGTAAGATGATTCATTTAAGAGAAAAGAAGAAAAAACTGACTTGTGATGCACATATTTGTATTTATATTTTAGAATTGTTCCTATTCTTGACCACTTTATAAATATTGAACCTCTTTGGACCTCAAACATGAAACTGTTTATGAAGTTTAAAGGGGATATGTGTTTTTGGTGGAAATGCTAATGCTCTGACACCGTATGTTTTTAAGTAACTATAACTATAATGTAGTTGAGTAAAAAGTACAATATTTGTCTCTGTGATGTAGTGGAGATTTAAAGTAGCATAAATTGGAAATTCTCAAGTAAAGTAAAGTATATATCCATCTCATGACCACTATAGGTTTGGGAGATGAAACTAGCTAAATGTATATAAAGTAGTTCAAACTAGCTTCGCCTAAAGCAGCTACAGCAGTAAAATGCTGCTCTGAGATTGATGCATCACAATCTATTTATGTCAGATATAATAATATATCAGTAACAGGGGACATTTTACTGCACAACAAGTACTTTTACTTTTGATACTTTAAGTACATTTTGCTGCCACTATCTCTCTACTTTTACTTAAGTGTGTAAGACTGCTATCGCGACAACATATGTGGGGAACCCTCCCCCCCACAAAGAAGCCCAAATATTGCACAACAACATCATAAAGTAAAATATAACTTACTCAGCTTTCGTTTGTTCATGGTTGAGACGTTGAATATGGTGACTTCCTGATATATTCACACATATAAAATGGTCAGAACACTGTCTCTTCCACTTGTTGCTGAAGTGTGATAATAAGCCGCATGCTCTTTACCCAACAGATTAAATCTGCTTCCTGTCTTCTGAACACAGCGGAAGCGTTGGGGGTAAATTTCAAAGAAGTTTCATGTTATGTTGAGGCAATCAGGTGACTAGTCATTTTTTGACTTAACAGTGGAAATGTGTGTCAGTCAGAAACTACTGAGGATCTTGTGCAAAGGCCATTTTTTTATTTAGTTTTAATTTTCCACTCGAAGGCCAAAAAAGGTCACTTCTGCTAATAATTGAACTTACTTTTAGAAAAAAACACCCACATGGACTTGTCATTGTCATTTTACTTCGATCTAAATCTTCCTGCCACGTGGAAAGTATGTCTAACTAAATGTCCATGTTTGTCAAGTAGTAATTGCTACGCTGATTTAACATATTTTAATATAAAGTACTTAATCATTAATTGCTGTTTGGTACTTTTGTAGATTTCAGACTGTTTAACCATTTTGATCACATTGCTCCAGTGAAGGGAGAAATAGAGTCATTTGTTTATCACTTCTTCAAAATACAGAACAAAATATACACATTATTTTATGAATTTATTTCATGTAACCAACAACAACAACAACATATTTTAATTCTTTCCTGTCCTTTTCCATATTGCACTAGATAAAAATGTTTTTAACTCTCTCCAACCACTCTTCCAATGTGTTCTTTACCAGGTTTTTCTGGAGAGCCCAAACAAAATGTAAGGAAAATTACAATTCATAAACTAAAGAAATACATTTTTACAGAAAAGAGAGTAATAAGGAAAAGAGGACAAGCAAGCAATTTAAAGACACCACATTTCCTAAACAAATTATGCATTTAAATAATTTCACTTCCTGTTTCAGTTCTTAAAATCATTGGGTGGAGCTCAACATTGGGTTCAACTGGCTCGTTTGCAGTGAAATTTGTCTTTCATTGATTTCAGAAGATAGAGGATCTTGTCTGTGAAATTATCTGTAATCTACTATTATATTTAGCTGTGTATTGATGTCTATATTGTAGGTTTTTAATGAACAAACAGATGTTCTCTCTGAGAGTAAAGTTTTGCCTTAAACTTGCATCTGTAAAGCTGTGATCTATTTGTCAACTAAGAATTTTCTGTAAAATATAAAGGAAGCATTTAAAAATAGTAAAGATGACAAAAAGTCATTTTAGTTTTGCCTAGAAAGTCTGCTGTTGCTGCTGTCTGTCTGCTGACATGTTTCCCTGTGAGTTTTCTTGCTGTCAGAGAAAGTAAACACGTAACCACAGCAGGAGGGCATTTATCACTCTCCAGGCTCTGTGGGTAGAGGCACAGAGCTGTCAACATCTTGCAACATATCCTGCCATCGTTTCCTGGTGAACAAGAATCCCAAAAACAACCGAGCAGCTCTGTGCACTCAACTTAACCATACAGTCATATAAACTTTATTTTGCATGTAATTTCACTGAGATTTAAAGGTCTAGTGA